GGGGGGGGGAATACGTGGAACATTCCTAAAATAATCAAAGTCAATCCGATTTGAAAAATGAAAAGAAAAATAAATGGAGGGAAAAAAAAAAAAGACAAGGAACTGGCCTTGAGTAAGCAACTAGATGCAAGGCGTCCTTGGGAAGGTGACTGGTGAAGTTCCTTCATCAGATGACGTGATGATGCTGCATTTGATCCCATCAAGTCGCTCGGACCTCTATAGTCCAGGAATATAAGATAAGCCGACTTGATTCCTCGCATATGGCCGACCTCATTTCAAGGATCTGGTTCCTGAATGGTAGAGCCAATAGCGTCTCTACAGTCATGTTCTCACGTATTCCAGTTGCTGACGCCATTGCACAGACCGCAAATAACTGACCGGATGTGCCAATGATCGCTTCCGCCCTTAAACTATGTACAGAAGCGGCACCATCTAGGCCTGCACAAAGCTTTGCATCGACCATGGCCTTGATTGGATAATGTTGATCCTGGACTGGTGGATGGAGGAATCCTGCGCACAATCCCTATTGTATCAATTAAGTTCGTGTCTTTATCCTCGACTACGCATACCTCCCTAAACCATAGAAATTTGGTCGACGTCGCATCGGCATTATGCCTTCAGGAGCAAACAAAAAAAGGAAAATATGGGTGCCTTGTCATTGAAACACGCTTCTGCGTCGCGAAACACTGGTACATGCCAAAGTAGGATGAAAGGAGCGTCGTATAAAATTTCGTTTTTATTGCACTTGAAGTGAGGATTAATGATCAAAGGACATGCAAAGTCCTGAATGCGTAAATCATTATTGTATAATATGCATTTTCCCGGACGGCAAAACATTTATACCAGAAATCATACATAGCCTGCGTAGGATTAGCCACGATTTTCAAAGTGTTAGAAAGAAGGATTGGAACACACCTTTTCTTGCTCCCTGGAAAAAGAACCGGACGATAAAGACTTGTAGGCCAGCCATGGTAACCATCATCAAACTTTCAATAATGCTGAAATTGAAGATCCTTCGTTCGGTGCTTCTGACGGTACTGAAATTTCGGTTCTCTCGTGTCCGGAAGTATTTCTGGTTGCGATTAATGGTTGAGAGCTGGGCCGAGAGCTTCATGATTGACTCTTCTAGGACAGAGGTCTGCTCGGGAGAGGTGCCCTGCTTGGCAGGAAGCTGTGCGCGAGCCTCGTTCTCAAGCTGCAGCAAGGGTTAATCAGTTGCCTTTGTATTAAACCATGAAAAGCAGATATCGAGATGATTCGCTACTTACAGCAATCTCAAAATCCACCATTTTTTCTGCAAACGTTGACATCTCATTATTGAAACAGAATCTGTATTCGCCAACCTCATTTGCGGTGAAGACAAAGTCGCCTTGGCGTTCCTTGGAGCCGTCCAGAATAACTTTGTCATTAGGACCAGCGACACTGTAGTCGACATCGAACGATCCTCCAGTTTGCACCTTTTTGTCCAATGAATCAGTCTACCGGTAGCTTTCATGGAGTAGTTCCGAAGCTTCTGAGCTGGAAACAAAGCTTGCAACACTCACCGCAAAATAAAATGCCATCTTTGCACCCTTCTGCTCGTTATAAGTAAAGAAGCAGGCCTTCTCGTTTGGAGCGAGCTTGTAGGTGAGAGCAGTCGCCGACGTCAAAGCGGCGATATACGCTAAAAGCGTATAACATATGAGAGACGACCGCATATCTGCAGCTTGGAGTTCCGCAAAGATTGAAGGTTGTCAATAATCAATGGGAAAGCTAAGTCGTGGACAACGCGGCTCTGTTTAGAAAGGGGACTTGGATGGACTAGTTCGCGGCCGTACACGCGCATTTTAGCGGCAACTTCCGTAGCCCCAGTCACAAATCAACATCCCAAAAGACACACATCACCACAACAAACTTTTAAAAACATGACTTCAAATAACAAATGAGCAGACTGAAAAATGCATAATTTACCTATCTGGCCCAACAGAATTCAGCATAATGTCTACTACGATACATATGTTCCAAGTGAGCCAATAACGCCTGCGAGACGCGGAGCTTGCGTTCGTCATCAAACTCCGCCGCTAACCCAGGAAGATGCCGACCCTTTTATGCTTTCTAGCGAATGAAAATGGAGTCTCCACGGTTCCAAAAACTCCGGGATTTATTTACGTGGTCTAGTCCCAAGAGATCATCACCCCTTGTTGCCATATCCGAAAGGATATCGTCTATAAACAACGTGAGCTGAGGCACATAAAACGTGAACAAATGGACTTACCGTCAGAAATATAAATAGGTTTTGAATATGCTGACTGCTGGACTAGGGCAAATTTGATCTTTTCAAATACCTTGCCCTTGATTGCTGTTCTTTTTGAGAGCCGCTCCTTTGTTTCTTTGAAAATTTCGCCCTAGAACGGGGTTAGCTTTTAACAGGATATTGTTGAGCTACGCAATTGAACTTACAGGCTTGACGACAAATCTAAAAGGAACGCCATGTGGTTTATTGGTTTCCCTGTCAAAATGGAAAGCATAAATAATGCGGTCGCCTTCCGCCGCATTTAATTCTTCTTCAGGAATGCGTTCCGCGTACAAGGTTACAAACTCGTTTACGCTGGCAACACTATACTCTGAAGAAAGTTCTTTGTAGACCTTCCCACCGTGTGCTTCGTAGACGCGGAGATTATTGATGGTCGAGTCGTCAAGATTGGCTTTCTTCTGGAGAGCCGGAAGAAGGTCACCGATAACTCCATTCTTGGGCACGAGAATGTCGTACGTTTCCTTTGTCAGAGTCAGTCATAAATCTAGATGTATAAAACTCGGAGAAGCCCACCTCTTTGGCGATTCCCTCGCTGAGCCATGTGATTTTGACGTTCTTCTTCGTCTCCAGCTCGCCAAGACTCAGCTCCAATACCTCGTAATAGAGTGCATTAGGCAATTGGTTATTGTTGCCATAAGCGCTGTATTGGGGCGAAAGCGTCTGCTGTAAAGTCGCATTAAGACTGCGCTTCACCACAGTTTTCGGTTTCCCGGTTGTCGCATTCACTGTGGAAAAGCGAATGTGGGTAGGTGGCGCGTGGAGATGCTCGCCGACCTTGGCCGCATATTGATCGTAGGTCATCTTTTTGCTCAGCGTGAGTTCGAACGCCTCCCCTTCGATATTTTGAGGGATTTTGGGGCTAAACTTGACGTTGATGCGGTTAAGGAGGTAGTCATAAAATTCTCGAGCGTCCACGTAGCCCCCGACTTGCGAAATCGCAGCACTTCTATTCAAAAGATCAGACAAGATGACCCAGAAACTCCTTGAACAAAACTTACTCTTTCTCCGACAGTGATCTCTGGAAACAAACTATGTCCCCGTCTTGGAGCTCGGCTTGATGGAGCGTGGACTTTGGCTTCATGGGCTCGATCATTGAATGTTTGATTTCCTAAAACGAAGGTGTTTGGCTCAGTTCTCCATAATTCAGCATTCTTTTGGGACAAAATCACCAACCTCGAAGAGTTTCAGATTCGTAGAACTAGGCCAGCCCATGGACTTCAAAATCGGCGCACCAAGATCCTGAACTTTGTCATGCCTTCGGAGGAAAACATGGCCCGCCCCATGAAGAGTTTGCTGCTCTGAATCAAAATATTTCAAAAATATTAGAATTGAACCAGACTGGTTGACAGCCGCGTTTCCATTGGCGACCTGGTGGTCCGACCAACCAGGGCTACCATCGTCGGAAGCTTCGGCGACTTCGATCCAGAGGCGGAACGGACTGTTCTTAGTACCGTGCTTATTGTAAGCTTCCTCAACGGTCATCGTGTTGTCTGTGAGGGGCTGATCTGGTCGAACCGTTCTGTTCTGCCGGTTGACCATCACCCAAGGCCGCAGTCGGTCCGAATTTTCGCCAATATCATCTGCCACCATTTTTACAAAGTCTCCGACAGTAGTTGTCTTTAAGACTCGGTAAGGCTTCGGGCAGGCTGCGGTTCCTGAGGAAGTGTCCCAGTTGGTAAGATCAAAGCCTTGGTAAGCGGCATAATTTGCGTCCGTTACCGTGACTATGGGAAGATACAAGTGGGCTTCCTCGCGTTCTTTTCGCCTTTGCTCTATAAGAGCACGCTCCTCAGTAAGCCTTCTCCCTGCAGCAAGGGTCAGCGGAAATTGCATATAGGGAAATTAGAGCTTCTATACCTATATGCGCTGGTATATCAGCATCCCGAACTTCGTCCAGTACCGTATCAAGCCGAGATTGACGAATGTAGACCAACATGTAAGCGCTCATGGATCTTTTCGTGGACGTTGTCCGGGTATACAGGTTGCGCTGTGCACCAATCATGCCATTTGGAGTCATAGCATAGTCGCCACCAAAATTGTCATCCATCGCCTCCTTAAGGGTTGCCCGCGTGACTCTGTCGTCGTCGAACTTGTAAAAATGTCCATCCTTTGTAGGCTTCAGAAAAGCGTAGTAATGACCGGCGTTGAAATCACCGCTGTGGACCAAGACTCCGTGTAGTTGATAGATGTACGGTTCAGATCTATCGGCGTCTTCTGAAAGATAGGGCGATGCATCGAAGATTTCGGGGAACTCGTAGCGATCATTGACCTTCATCATGGCATCTCGGTTGATGTCGTATTCAAAGCGCTTCAGCTGCAGGTGCAGAACCTGCGGAAAGCTCTCAAATATCACACCCTTTTTGGCATCCTGAAGACCATGGCCCTCGGCGTAATATTTGTTCTCGCCGTCCATGGTCTCGACCTGGATATAGTCTCTGAAGCTGTCATGGAGATTCTTGTTGCCGCTGACATTGAGCTGGATATCCCAAAAATCCTCCGTTCGAGAAGACTCATAGTTGACGTTGATGCATGAGATATATGTCTTCATCTTCCCAACGAAGAGCTTGGCAAGCGCATTCTCGGCCTCGGTTCCCTTCATTCTTTCCTCCATTCGCTCCATCAAAATCCGGGAGAATTCCTGGACGTCTTGTTGTTCAAATATCTGCTTTGTGTCCCAGCCAAAAGATGCGGTTAATTCCTGGGTAGAGACTGCAAATTTGTGAGTTTGGAGGAGGTAGAAAAGGCGCTGCAATGCATGGGCGCTATTGGAGCGTTCTGCTTCGTGTTCAGTAGGGATCAAATAGACGGCCTACAGATGTCAGTTAAGGACGTTTCCCTTACAGCTTCACAAAGCAAGAAGAAGAAAATACTCCCATTACCTTTCGAAATGCATTCGTAAAGAAAAGAGACTGCAGTAGAGAATTGAGATAGCAGGTAGCGCCCTGGTTTCTTAGCCCCACCATCCCGGTCTCCTTTTTCGAATCATAACTGGGGGAAGAAGACGTTAGCGAACGAGGTATAGAATAGCTAAAGACCAGCAAAAGCCTCACTTGATGAAATTATGCCACAAAACGCCGGTTGGGTCCTTCACGATTCTAACGTAAACCGTGCAGTTGACAGCATTATCCTCCACAAGGGGTCTATCATGATCTTCCCACTGAGCGGCAAACATCTTCCGCAACTCGGCGAATCTCGTGAAGCCCCAGTCACCCTCCTCGGCTGTGAAACGATGATTGGCGGCTATGTGATTGTCAGATGGATCGAGTTTTGTCCGGGCGAGGGCCATGAAGACTCACTATGATGGACATAGATTGAAGGGTCATTTTCGTTCCACAATACCAGCGCGAATTGCGCGCAGGCATACCAATCCTCGGGGGGTTTGGAGTCGAAACCATGTTCCAAATAGAATGACGCATGGTCGACATTGTTTCCGAATGGGAAGAAAAGCACTCTCCTACAGCTAGTTAACTTCTGACGCTTCTACACCACAAACGTATGGTCCATTGTCGTACCAAGGATAGTTGCCACATTGAAATGTTGGTCCATGTTCCCGTCTTGAAAGGTTGCGCCAGTTCTCAATTTTCCAGGTATACTCGGTTTCGAAACCAGTTTCAAGGTCGGGGATATTCGGCAGAACCTTTGCTCTCATGGCGGCATCTAACAAGCCAAAGAGGTCAATATATGTGCTTCCCCACCTCAAGTGTCCGTCAAATATACGCACAATCGTTGGCTAGCACGGGCTTTTCTTGACCCTCCATTGGGTCTTCTGGGGGTATGATGGCGACATCCTGCTTCTCATCGATGTTGTCGTAGTCATCGACAAGCATATCACCTCCAGCGAGCTGTTTTTGCAGCTGTTAGCGAATCCTTGTGAGACTCTGCTGCCCTCCAAACCCGAGGGGTCAGAAGTCGTGACTTACAGGGTCCATCGCTCAAGGAACGCCCGTCGTAGGTAAAACCTTGCTGTCGGTGGCCTCCGGGAAGGAAATAGATGTATTGGGCGAGCCCGTCAGGAATCGATGGGTTGGACTCTTAGGTTGCGTTTGTGATCCTTCAAACTGGCAGAAGTGGACTTTCAAACAGCGTCCTCGGCGTATGGTCGGCCAAGTACTTTACAGAATCGCTTGTACCGAACTCTTGTGCGTATGGGTAAGCTTTCGTATGAGGTAGTGGCGGCCAGGGCGGTTGAGCCAATGATTTCACCCAGTCGTCCGACCGGCAAAGCCTTCGCGAACAACGCGCCTTCGTAACTGGCAACGTACTCGCTCTGCCTCTAATACCTACCTTGGGTAGTTTAAGGGTGACAGGTCGATTGACAGGTTGATGGAATATTTTATAGGTGGCTTTTGATCCTCGAGTGAATTTGGCAATGATCTGGGTCTTGCAACTTCATATTACGACTTATGCTAAATAATGACTCAAGGCATAACTGTTACAAACGTTCTAGTTACAGCATACACAACGACAGCGTGGTTACCTCGTTGACTTGTCTGTGCCAAAGGCAATCCTGACCAGAGAATGGCTTTCGACAGCACTACTCCGGACTCGCCACGTGATCGCACTTCACCAGCCACAGTCCGCGGGGTAATTTGTACTGAACGAAGGGAGATACACAAGGTAGGTAAATAATGAAAAAGGATTAAAACACCTGAGCTTCATTTAGATTACGTAGAACTTGCTATCAATTTCTTTGAGGTTTCAGACACAACAAGAATTAGAAATGGAGCAAAGTTAACAGATTTTCTGGCCCAGCTGTCTATAATATCTTTATGTGTTACGCTCTAAGAAAGCTGTGCCTTACTCATGAACAATTTCGTGCTAAAGACTCCCATTCGTTCAAAGTTTCCCTCCAAGGTAAGGAATTCAAAATTCTTTCCAAATCCATTATTCTTGAACAATTCTTCCATGCGAGCTTTGCTGAAGGCCGGGTTTTTGATAGTTGGGGTGGCTCCATTCAACGCCGTCTCAATGCGCTGTCTCTGTGCAGCCGGTAACGCGTTGAGCTTCTCATTTTCTGCAGGCGTAAGCACCTTGTGACCCTTGGCGACACGTTGAAAAATTGACTCTTCGTTAGAGCTTCCGTCTAGGAAATCAATGACCAGTAGCACGCCGCTGCCCTTCTTCAATCTCTCCCCGATCCGCCTGACCGCCAAATCGGGGTCCTCAAAGTGGTGCATAGCTAAGCTGACCACGGCAAGATCGAATTCGTACAAATCCGGGAGATCGAGCTTCTTATCAGCTCCCGCAGGGTCGAGCAAGTCGCCCTGGACTGCATGCATGAATTCCTTGCCCTTTTCTTGGGCAATGGCGGACTTGTTGTATTCTTCAATCATTTTTTCAGAGACATCGATGCCTCGCACTTGGGACACGTGCGGTCCAAGGACCTGGGAGATGATACCGGGGCCACAAGCAAAGTCCAAAAGACGAATAGATCGCTTATGAGATGGTTGATCATTCTTGACATTAGATGGATCAATCCCGATCCAGTCGCGATGACCATCGACGCCCTCTGCTATCATGGCCACCCCCTCTTGGATCCAAGGCTCTGTATGATACCTTGCTGCCATTGAACTAGAAGATTTGTAAGCTTTGGTCCAGAATAGGCATTATATTTTTCGTAGAAATACTCAAAATATTCTCGGTTTCTTTCGCTGTGGCTTGCCATGTTGAAGATAAATTACCGCGTAAAACAGATATTGATAAATGCGCAAACTTATTGATGAATAAGTGTTTGTAGAAATTAAGATCCGTACACAAAAGAAGAAATGGATTGAATTCGACGAGAAGATCTTGGTCTAATATATTGTGAAAAGGGCCACTGGCGACTAGGGACAATTGTCCCCGAGCTCTTCGTTAAAGCATTTTAGTCGGGGCCTTTCCGGAGACTTTGAGGAAAATGTGTCCGAAACACTCCTTGTCTTTCTGATCATTGGGGAGGTGTGATGTGAAATAAGTTCTGTATATGCCAGACGACATATGAAGGCGTTCGAGGAATTTGGGAATCATATTTTGTTTGGGGGAAAAAAAAATATTGATTGCTTTGGGGCAAGTGAACGACGATTATCTATTGCGGTCAGGAAACTAGAGTTGGTGTCAAGCAACGCAATCGTGCGTTCAGGGAGGGGGCAATGTTAGGTGTCCATCGATTGCGTAGAAAGACAGTCGAAAAGCATGTTGGGATAGCATTCCCTGTAATATACTCATTATAAATACAGTGATCACCATTATTTCTTTTCTTTTTTCCTTTCTTTTTCCATTTGTTTTGCACTGTTTACAGGATAATGATGAGGTTATACACCCGAAACACTCCGGCTGCGGGCAAGATCGGGAAAATCCCGCCGCCACCAGTGGACTACTGACTACTGCTTACCTGACTCCCGCCCAACGCTTGCGGTTAAAGATTTTGGTCAGGGTAGAACTATTTTATACGCTCGTACATACGTAACTGTGGTCTATAGGCCGCTCGTATGATCCCTGGCTCAGATCTCGTGCCGAAATATTTCCGTAATTCGCGATTCGCATGTGAGCGCACTAAAACCGCGCCCTGAGCAAACACAGCTCCATTTATGCTCAGGATATCCCCGTCGTTGACTCACGCCATTGTAATCTGATTTCTCGGCAGGACCGAGGAAAATTCAAACAGCGGGGGGGAAAGGACATCGATGCTACTTTCGGGGCAGAAGTTCGAAATTGGGGCGTATGCTCTGGGCTCGGGTCGACACGTCAAACTACCCCTCAATATTCTCTCTTGACGAGACTGTGACAGAGCCTGGTCGGCGACCCTGAACATCCTTGAGGGTGTTATATCGCATGGAACCATCATGTTTTGCGCAAGGTGTCCGAAGAGCCAAGCCTTACAGATAATCAGCAAACGAAAAGTTTCGCAACAATGCCGGCAATACATGTGCTCAGAGCCCTCACCTCCTTGGCGGCCTGCCTCAGCACTAGACGAGTACGTTTCTAGGACATATGTTGAAGCACACTCGTCGAATCTTGCTGTCTTGTGAAACTGACATTGGATTTACAGATGGGTGCAACGAGAGGCTAGACCGATCAGTCTACGACAACTCACATTCTTTGGACGAACACTGACCGAAAATCGCCTGCTGAGCGTCGCCAATTATGTCCGCACCGAGCTACCAACAAGGTGCGATGATTTTCCTCTCTACTCTTGTTAGTTGCTGACAGCGATGCATTATAGGATAGCTCACCGGCTGCGTGATATGCAAACGTTGCCCTATGTTGTTGTTACGAACCCTAACATGTTACACGTGTATGAGCAATACAACAAGGCATTCGAAAAGCTACGAAGAGTCCCAGAAATTAGAACCATTGCGGATAATGACAGATACTGCGACGTAATTCATCAAACGCTAGAAGAGCATTTGACGGTGATTCCGCGGTTGGCTATGGGCATGCTGGAATGTCACGATCTAATGGGCGCGGATCGAATTGACAAATTCATGAATACGCTGTTACGATCGGTATGAGCTACATTTCGCGAAAGCTATATCGGAAGAGACGTTAACCGTATCCTATTTTGCAGCGCATATCTCGGCGTGTTATTGCCGAGCAGCATCTCGCTCTCACCGAGACGTTCAATTCGCCGTGGAAACATCCTGACGCCCATACGAATACAGAAAGCCAAAACGATTTTGTGGGTGAGGTATTCTTACGCTGCAATGCGAAAGAGGTGGTAGAACGATGCGGAAAAATGGCGACGGAACTGGCCAAGCAAGCGTATGGTGAGGATCTTCCAGTGCCCGAAATTAGGATTCAAGGGCACCTGGGCGCCACATTCCCATACATCCTTGGTCATTTGGAATATATCGTTGGGGAGCTCCTACGTAATTCCATTCAGGCTGTGACTGAGCGGAGAAGAAATCACTCCCCACCGCCGCCAATTGACGTGCTGATATGCGAAGCACCTCAACATGTGATCATAAGGATATCCGATCAAGGAGGTGGCATTTCGCGAGACGTCTTGCCATCTCTCTGGTCTTTTGCCAAAGGGGCCCATAGCCAGACTCGCCTGCAGAACCTCCACAAGGTTCCAAAAATGGCAGCAACGATGCAAGAGTTGAAAGTACCGGACAGTGAGCGGTGTGATCGAGACAAAAATGGGAATTTCAAGACCAGGGGCAAGAGACAGCCAGATAAGTCTCTGAGCTCACTGACCAGCAGATCGCCAACTCTGAGATTAGGCATGGGTCTACCCATGAGCAGAGTATACGCAGAATACTGGGCTGGAAGCCTGGAAGTTCACAGTCTTGAAGGATACGGGGTTGATGCCTTCCTACAAATCTCAAAATTAGGCAACAAGAACGAGCAACTGACTACTAGGGCCAGCATGGACGCGGTGTAAATGAAAACTTCTTGGCCTGCCGGATGATATCTCTGTAGATAATCTGATGTTAAAAAAATATATCGAGAGGTATTGCTCTCGCAATTGACGCGGTAAGATTTTTACATTCTGACTGATGTTGAAAAAAGCTAATTTCGAACCTGAAGACAAATCAGTGCTTTGGGGGATTTTTGGATCTATTCATTCTTTGTTCGAAAGCACATCGGGAAATTGGACAAGTTTGAGTCAAGATGCTCAAGTCGAACGGCGTTGGGGCTCTAGCGTTTTGCGTGTCAAGAGGTCGTTCTTTCCTACGTTGGATGGGAACGCTTTCCCAAACCTGTACTCGACCTCCTCGTCAAGGATCTTGATGCCTCAATGTTGTTTCCAACAACATCCGAAACACACTCTTAGCCATCCTTGCATTCACAAAGCATCAACGGCAAATTATCATCATGACACGCAGGTTTCGGAGTGGACGGACGGTCAGCGATGCGGCTTCGAGGTCAGAAAGGCGATGAATTCCACTTGATTAATTTTCCACTGACCTGATCTAAGCATTCGTCGCGTATTTGGCGATCTCTCCAACCGCTCCTTTTCTCGACGAACTGCTTCATCACAGAAGCCAGAGAAGCCAAAAACGGAGACTTTGTCGGTGAATTCCGGGAAATTCAAGTGGCTATCCATATTCCGCAAACGCAAATCAACACCAGAGCCTGGTAACAACAATTCGAATGATACGCCCCCGACGAGTGGAAATCTACCAGGGCTGACACAGGCGGTGGTGCTGCAAACCCCACCAGTTCCACCGCCGCAAGCTGGACCTCGCTTCATGATCTACGTAGATGACGACTTATCCCAGTCGATCTCAGCCTCAAGTGCCAAATCTGCTGATGTGGACGCCAATATCAAGAGGCGGACTGATGACAATATGAATCCCGCCCTCAAAACGCCCCGTCGTGCCATGAATATACAGGACTATTCGGGGACTGAAGAGAGCAACGAAGGAGTTGCGAGAGTACACGGAGTTTCAATCCCGAACAGAGACGGTCCTCAGGCGTTTTTCAACACCCAGACGATACAGTATAACCTGGCTGGATGGTATCCTCAAACGAGCGAGCTGGAAAACGATACGCTATATACGTCAGATGCACTTGAACATCTTGATGCAAGTACGACTTGGCCAGGCTTACCATATTCTTACGCAGAAGAGCTTCTTTCATGGGAAGTACTCTTCAAGGAGTGTATTGCACGATTGATCAACAAGCAATCTACTCTTCACTCGACATATCCGCTTTTCCCTGAATGGGCCCATAAAGAGATATTGCGTGTCGATGTTGCACAACTTGTTCGGGACATGGTTTCCGCGTCACAAGCACAAGGGTATGATTTGAGGTGGTTAGGCCGCAACGGAAATCTACAAGGCACTTTAATCCATTTGGTACGTACTTGGAGCTGCTTTACGGGAATTGATCCACGCCTATGGCCCACAGGGCTGTTTGCAGGGTCAGAAGATTTTCCGCTTAAGGTCAGCGAAAAGCTCATCGAGGTCAGCCATTTAGAAAGTGACCACGGACGAGAGATTGAGGTCGCTTGGGCACCGGACAGTGTCTTTTTTGAAAATCTTCAGGTTGCCACCCGTGAAGGCGATCGTTTCACCCTCATTCCTCGTTACTGGTGCGCTTTCAATTCGTCGCTCGTGGAACAGGACGAATTTATCAAGATAACCTTTGCACTCGAACCTTCTATTAATTGGCTGAGGTGGAACACCGAAATCCAAGGTTTCGAGGGTTTTGTCCCGTTGTTTTCTGAGTTTGATCAACTCCCTCCCGGTTGGAAAGAGACTGTTTCAAAGTTCGAGACAGCTGGACGGGACAGTCATGTTCATGTGCTTCGCATCGGAGTCACTGCTACCTTAAGCGAATCATTTCCGGCAAATACAATCTGTCAGCAAACCATAAGGGTTTGTTTGAGGATCAGCGTAGCCCCTTGGTATACTGACACTCAAGGTCACTGTGTCACCTCTTGGACACCTGCCGTCGAAGAAGTGGATACACTCGTGAATCCTATGGAACTCAACCAAATATGTGAGGAGATGAACGAGGAAGAAAACCTGGAGTTCCTCGAACCTTTTGGTCAAAATAACCAAAGCCTTGAGGATGGGCGTCTTACCAATACGTGGCTTGAGTCAGCTTCGAACGCTTTAGAATCTTCAAACAAGTTTGCCATTGAAGATTCGCATGGATTGGCGAGAAATGATTTCTCCGAAACATTTTCCTCTCCGGATTCTTTGACAGACTATAACGTGATGGCCATACTCAAGGCCCATAAAATGGAAGGGTACGGCACCGAACCTTTGGAATCAAGTCCTCGAAATTCGATTGATGATTACTTCGGCCTCGTCAATGACAAAACGCCGGAACCCAAGTGCATATATGCAGAAAGCATCGACTTTGAGACTCTAACTCCGTTGGCGGCGGAGTCAATCAACTTGGAAACAAATAATACTTATTGTGCTACACCGGAGCAGATCGATGAAGCTTCGGATGAGCAAATTGTCAAGTCACCCTTTGCTCGTTATTTCATCAGTTTGATTGAGGCAGTGGGTCCGGTCGAAGCTGAAGCAGCCTCAAATGTACTTGAACCGCAAATGGTGGAGGTGAGAAAAAGGATCTTGCAATTGTATTCATCTTCACAAACAGACACTCTAAACGAGAAGGCATCCGAGTACCAAGCGATATTGAAAGCACACAAATCATCATACCTTACACGATGGATGCATTCCGTCAGGCCCAGCGATACCAGAGTCTTTCGGGATGATTTGACCGAAGATGAATCATCCGTCGAAGAATCGTCTAAGGAAGATGATTTGTGCTCAGAGGGGAATTCAATCTCTCCGACTTCAGTCAGAGCTCCTCCGTACACTGTTGTACCATCATTGAAAAACAAAAATCGCATGGAAAGACTGGATACGCCGCCGATGACGCCTCCTTTGGAAGTCGATTCAAGTCTGGCAAGGTCTGATTCATTCTTTGACGGGGTATATTCCTTTCAAGAAGGAGATGGCGCTGGCAGGGCTCCGTGTGATCCCTCAAGTTCTCGCACGAAGGTCCCGTCGCGAGCCAGCGTTCATGTTTCAGAGCTTATTTTATGCGCCAAAGCACCCACCGATTCACCCGCCCGCTTCAGTAAGGAAGATAGACTGGATGAACAGACAAATATATTAGAAGATTATTTGGCTATGCTTGCTCAGAAAGAAGAGGATATTTCACCTCGGGTGGATAAAGAAGAGCAGGAGATTTTTGAGTCGATATTCATGACTGAGGACGACGATGATGAAGAAGAATATTAATATTCTACATCGGATTTGCTATTGGATGCTCAAGGTTTTGAGTGAATTAGTCACGTTTGTTTTATCGGTTACACCTTGAGGTTTTTTTTAGATGAAGTTTGCATATTCTGGTCTGCTTTGGCAGTTTTGGTGGGTTGAATACCACTCTGACCAACGAACAACAAACTGCAATGTTGGTGCAGCTCACCGCGTCAGTTCGTGGCTGTGTCCTCACTCGCCACTAGGTTCAAGTTTCCTTTATTATACACATATCATAGAGAAATTGTATTGGTAGTTTTTGCAAGATTTGTCTGTTGGAAGTCCAAAAAGGTACCATGTTCAAAATGCCGACGAATTAGAATTCATATGACATGTTCGTTGACGTCATTATGTGGCTGTGCATGCATTGGAAAGGGTCTGGCGTGGCGGTGAAAAGCTGTTTACCTGTGGCTGAGGTTGTTTTGTCGAGATTGCATTCGGCCTCAGCCACGATCAGACCAATCGCCTTAGCTTCATGTGATTACCCAATGACGTAAGTCGACGTCTCAGGACCAAGCGGGCCCTTGGAAGTCTTGCAACCTGCAAACGGTTCCGACCTATTAGAAATTGCGGGGAAGCTCTGTTGAAAGGAGAATCAAGGATCTTGAAGAGTTTGTGAAATTAAGCAAGACTTTTGGTTGGGACTCAGCACCTTAAGTTGTGCGGGTACTGGATATCGTGGTTTAAATACCCTGGTCCCTTGCATTTATGCTTCGCGTGCCTTAGCATTGCCTCGCTCGGCTCTATAACCACCTCAATTTTGCATTGAACAGGGATTTGTCCAATCGTCATATTGCGCCGTACTCTGCAGTACTCGATATTTTTGTAAACAACCTCTTTTCCCCTTTTGCATTACATAACCAAAAGAAAAGGTGCGTCTGCGCTTAGCTCCGTTGTGTATATAAAGCAAGGGACCCAACCTAAAACTGACACCCCCTTCTCGACTAGAACCAAAACACATCCCGCAGAGCTCCGTCTCTACTCAGTCACAGAATCTCAATATCTCTACAATCCTATTGTTAACTATATTCCGAATCTATCGCCAAGATGCTTGGAATGCTTTGCATCATCATTATCACCCTCCTGTGTAAGGAATTCCCCTCCTCAAACACCAAACGTGAAGCTGTAGCTAACCCAGAAGTTGATTGATCCAGTGCCACCTCTGGGTGTCTTCTTAGTAGCAGGATGCGGTGCTGATTTGCTCATCAACATTCTCTTAACGCTTCTTGGGTGAGTACAACCATTGCGCTCATAAAGTTGTTTTGTGTATCTTGTAGGAATTTGAAGCTAACAGCTCGTCAAGCTACTTCCCCGGCCATATCCACGCGTTTTATGTCGAATACGTCTACTATCACCGACGCAAATACAACAATGCCTCACAGCCTCTTCCTCCGGCGGGCGGCATCTACAGTCCAAAGGTCCAAAATGCCGGCGGGACCCAGTATGGCACCGTACCCACTTAAGCGCGCATCGTACTAGTGCATGGGCATTGTGCGCACGCCGTTTTTAATTGCGGTCGGGAAAGTCAGTCGTTATGGAATACCTGGTTAAGAATTGTGACGGTATTGGGATTGATGATTGGCATGGGTTTCCGCACTTGATTTGAGATATCCAAATTGCCCCAGCTGCAAAATGTTTTTCAGCACATTTGAAGCTGAGTAGGCGTCTTTAGTTAATGGAGATATTATTATCTTTATCCTTGGTCCTTTTATTCTTGGTGCGCAGCTGATCAGTGACATTTTTGTGACGAAATTTGTTTCATGGTATGAAACATTTGACAAGTTGAGCAATTCTTGCAAGGCAAGCGTGTTCTTTTAATTCTCCTCTACCCGTTTCATATTTTTGCTTCCTCTCCACCAGCGATCGTACGGGCTGTCCATCGCGAATCTGGCCTTTACCTCACCCCACCTCTACTGTTTGAGATGACAGATATGGTCCGTCTGCCCGTTCTTCAAAGAAATATTCTTTCCATAGGTTATTCAAGCTATTGGCATTTGCACGTGGCATACTTCAACCTCCGATATTCGTATTGAGGTTGTCATGGAATAAACTAGCTTAAAAACCTATTCATATGATCCCATATAAACAAAATATCAACTCGAAATATGTACACAAATAAAATAAATTATTGCTAAGAACTAGGAAAAATCTACAACCGCTTTTTTAAAATAATTGCCATATAAATCAATCTTTCCACTGTAGAAATATCGCCAAATCATTGTCGTCCCAAATTTACTGGCCTTTACCACATTCTTCTACCTTTTCCCCCATTCAGTGGGTAGAGAGAGCCCGCATTACAGTTACGTTTTACGCGCACCGCTAAACTAAACTGCCCAACCCCACTGGGCCACCCTCCCTGCCCTTTTAACCCAGCTCGGCGAACCAACTGAGCTGAGGTCCGCCAGAGTACGAAGAACTTGGAGCACTAGGCTGCACCGTATATTCCCCACGGCAAACACCGCCAGCGTGGCTTCATGCTACAACTATCGCGGCGTCAATAACAGACCGACGACCACCGAGCTTCTTTTGTTGTCAAGACTTTGCCTATTGATACCCTCCCATCTGCGCCATAATTTTCTCTTCTACCTCGACACTGGATGCCTTTATAGAGGACACTTGGAATTGTATCCGACACTATTACTTACTGTAGAGTATCTGTATGTACGCCAAGGACATACGTTGCTTATATCGCCTTTCTGACTACCCCAGATACAACGAAACGTTAAAGCTTCGAAGCTTTCGATATTTCCTAAATCTTTGCTAAAATAAGCCTTCAAGAGGCAGAGTAGCTGCGCGGTTGGGTTCATACAAAAAGAGGACCGAAAATGCACAGCACACTCGTGCGGGCCCAGAATGTATTCGGCTTCTTCACCACCGTGGCATTCATCGTTGGCGCGCTGGTCGCGGTGACGGGATATTTCAGCCTGCCGTCTGATGGAAACAGCCTGGACGTCAGCGTGGATTTGAAGAATGTGCAAGTGTACGTCCCCTATCCATCCATGTCCATCTATACTCAAACTATTTATGTGTATATTCGAATCTGCTGGGGCGGAGCAGCTGGAGCGCAGCACTTGGCTAATTTGGGTTTCTCGTCATCCAATCAACAGTGCACGAGGACGGCCGCATTACTATAGTTCGAAGAGAGAAGAATACGCGCAGATCCGATTCGATCTTGATGCTGGTGCGTTACCGTTTACCGTTGCCCGTTGCCTGTTGCCTGTTATCCATAAACCCTTCTAGTCGATCGGATACCCAATCTACTCAGTCTCAATCTTCATTGTAAAATCTAATCCTACACTCTCATCCACTCTTCAAACCCATTGCTAGATGTTCGATGCTCGATGCACGATTCAACTGAGCATTACAACAGCACACCAATTCGACAATACAACACCCATCACAAACTAAACTAACAACTGGCCATAGATCTCTCACCGCTATTCACATGGAACACCAAACAAGTCTTTCTATACATAATGGCATCCTACCCTCCCAGCGTATCATCTGCCAGTCGCGACTCCAAGAAAAAAGGTTCATCACCCAGCCCCAACCCGGGCCCGTCCAACGCCATCATCTACGACAAAATCATCACATCCCGCGACGAAGCCCATCTCGAGCTCAGGAACCAGCGCTCCAAGTACCAAATCACAGACATATCTGGCCGCATTGCGAACCGCCATAATGCGACGCTCGAGGTCGCGTGGAATGTGCAGCCCTGGGTGGGCGCGCTGACGTGGGGAACAAGTTCAGAGGGGCGGAGCAAGGCGTTTGCGTTTCCGGCGCTGAAGAGTACCGGCGCTGGCGGTGGCGGCGCAGCGACGGCAACGAAGAAGAAGAATGTGGCTGGTGAGCAGACGATGGGGTCTGCGGCGCCAGCAGCTTAAGCGGTTGTACATGGTGCTCTGTTGTCTAAAACAAAAGAACAAAATAGAACAAAATAGGACAGAAAAGTAAAAGTGCATATCCCGAGGATTTAGCTAATGTGCGGTTTGTTTAATGGAATGTGAATAACGCTGGAATAATGCGGGGTTATACTTTTTATCGGGATAGTGACTATCTCCCTGAGCCTAAGTGGACTTCTGCTGTTACGAAATGGTTTCAAATGGGTAAAGACAATAGATTAAATGTCAAGTATAAGTCAGAGTCTGGCTCCGTTCGACAGAAGATGATGCTCTTAGGCGAGGATGTGAAGACATGAGATACAACACCATTTTATATTACAATCGTATCAATTATTTTTCAGATCCATATGTGCAGCCCATGTATTAAATACAAGCAAGGAACCTAATATAAATTGTGTTCATCAGAAAAAAAAAAACGCAATCGAGGCCCCTTTTTAATTCCAACATGAAAACCGCAGGAGCAGAACAATACTAGATGAATGGCAAAAGTTCTGCTCTTTTTAATGACCTCTAAAAAGCGCTTTTCTGCATACAATCCAACCTGGCCTTGCTATGCCACCAATCCACAGTATTTCCTATCTATCGTCTAGAAGCATCAGATTCTATTCGATAGTCTGCACAGCAGGCTTGCCGGGCTGGCCGGTGCCATTAGTGCCTCGTCCACGAGGAGCTCCGCGGCCTCTACCGCCATTGGCGGCGCCACGGGAGAAGTTGCCACGGCCACGACCGCGGCCTCTGCCGGAGTCAAGGTTCGCGGGGGGCGGAACCATCTTGTATGATTGCGGACGGAAATTCGGGTTCTTTTCCAAGACACCCTCGTTGGGATCGGAAATGTCGACGGGAGTGTAGCCCTGGCGGGTGGTCGACGCGGGCTGAGAGAATCCGCTGCCTCTGCCGCGACCAGGCGTGCCGTTGACACGACCTCCCCGACCTCGTGGGGTACTACTGCTTGCGGTACGAATGGGCAGCTGTTGCTGTTCTTCGGGCAGCGGAGCAGTGTGGGTACCGTTCAGAGGAGCGACACCGGCACCGCGACCGCGGCCACGGGAGGCGCCGCCTCCGCGCAAGCCGTTGCCTACAGGAGGAGTGGGGGTCTTCTGCCCGAGAATAGCCCCCTTGAAAGAGCCAGAGAGACGTGGTGGAGCGTCAGCATCAACGTACTGCCCGCGCCCACTAGGGCCCGACGGCACGCCATAGCCGCCAACGGTCAGAGGCTGAATCGTTCTCTTTTGCTGATTCTGCTCGTACGCTCTGGAGCCGGCAATAAGCTGCTTGTCGGTGATGTTGAGGACAGATGCGACAGGAACAGTTGAGCCTCTGAATGGCGAACAACGGTCGTTGAGGGTTGTTCCACTCATAAATGTAAAGTCAAAAACCACATCAAGCAATGTGCTGCGTGAGGTGCGTGTCAAGCCGACAACAGTACCACGGGACGCAATGGGTACTTTGCCCGAGTCTTGAACGTATAGAACACGATCGCCCAGAGAGAATGTTTGGTTGCCGAGACGGTGCTCAGCATCAGATGGCTTAAGCAAAGCGTTGCGGGGAACGCCCTTGATCTTCTTTCCCTCGTACGGCGGGCTGTTTTGCACGGCGTGGTCCGCTGCTTGCTCAATTTGCTTGACTACATCCGAGTCTAGTTGTTGAGCTTCCAATGGAACCTTTTCAAAGTTCTTCGACTCGATTGATTTCAACCATGCCTGAATCTCTTTGATCTTATCATTTGCAATCTCTTCGGGATAAAAGTCCGTCGCGCTGTACATGTCACCCTGAGGGTTTCGCTGAATGCCGGCAATAAACTCGGGGAACTTGAGCATGTACTCTTGAATGAGATTGACAGCCTTCTGGCTAAACTCCCAGCCACCAGCGCCGCGACGTGAATAGCCCAAGACCTTCAGTTTCTTGGCTTCGAATTTGAGGTTCAAACCCAAATTGACGCGTTGCTCGTTCACGACAACCTGGAACGAGGACGTCATCTTACTCAAGACTAGAGCGTTGAGACCCAGAGAACGAGCAACAGCGTACGACGGAGTGTAGGGGAATGCTCGCTCGGCATTCATGGCGATTTGTTTGCCGAATTCTTGTTCTCGACCTTTTACAGTTGAGATCCAGACTTCGGCCTTGTTCTTGTGGTGAGCTAGCACCTCCAATGGGCGCCCGTAGTTGAATTCCCCGAGGAAGAAAGCCCTCGTTCCATCCGGGAACTCCTCCTCAATAGGCAGCGCCTCTCTTTCAATGAATCGCTGATCCTCGGAGAGGACAGCATCAACGACCACTTGCGAAGCAAAGTCTGTTTCCATTCCAGGAATCAGAGCATATTCTTTGACAGTCGCTCCCTCGTCTGTCTTCTTCAATCCTTTCAACATTTCAACATGCATCAAAGATTCGGTGTGCCCAATTAGCATTCCAAGTCTCTTGCTGTAAATGTTCTCGATGCGGTCTGCCTTCCTGCGCCAGCTCTCAATTTCCTGAGGACTGTGAGGAATGGGAATGACTTGCTCTCCGTTTTCTGGAAGAATGTAATCAAACAACTCATCAGAAACGCGGACAACCTTGGCCTCCTGAAGAAATGGATAGCCAACATAGACTTTGTTTCCAAGCCTGCCCTTGGCCCTTTCAACATTCGTTCCGGCTTCGGCATCGCTCAATGTAATCACCATGCTTTCGTTTCGGCTTTCCTGTTGGAAAACATTGACTCCATGGAAACCAAGTGTTCCAGTGTGCGGTAAAGTCTGAAGTGTCGGGAAATTGGCAAGGGCCTCCGCACCGAGCTTTACTCCTTCAACCAAGCCAATATATATCTCCAACCCATCCATGGTTGGCAATTCGAAAATGTTCTCGACACAACGGCAGTGAGGTATGTCGGGGAAGATGCCCGTCATCGATGATGGGTACGTATAGTCCACGTTGGCATCATACGAGAATTTTACCGTAACCCCAAACTCATTTCTGTCGTGTTCCTCCCGCGACAAAAGGTGGTCCTTTGTTTTCATAGCGTCCAGCAGTCTCTTTTCTTCAATAAATGGAATCTTCACCACAGCCTCCCACTCCATCTTCTTTCCATTCATATCAAGCTCAAAATCACGAGGATAAAAGTCAATAATCGGCGAGTCTTGGCTTGTCATAAGCTCATGGTATGGCTCAGGCACGATCTTTTTGCTTCGGTCCGGCAAGACTCCCATGAGTTGCTGGAACGGGCGGAATGGTTGACCAAGCTTAAAGTTTAGATCCGCTTTCAAGCCCTTGATCACATCTAATGGGATTAGTCAGAAAAAGGACTCCAAAAAATTCTGAGGAAACAAGGGCATTACCTGAAATCATTGGTGAATAGTGGTAGCCATAGAACCAAGGCCAAGAGGCAACGCCTCGATAGTAGTAAAAGAGGACCCACTGGAGACCTTGAACGTAGTTCTCAGCCAACTTCCTCATTTCTTCCTCGTTCTCCACGCCCCAGCCAAACTTCTCAGTGTAATAAGTGTTTTTCCACTCATTGAACTTTTCTTCATACTTCTTTTCCATTGCTTCTTGAACTTCTTCGGCAGTTTCATCAACGACGCGTGCATTCTCGTAGCGCTTCAAAACTCTCATAAGAGCAATGTCTGCCTCTTCGTCTATTTCCTCATCCTCCTCATCGGTCGCACCTGGTTTTCCAGGCAGAGAAAGTTGCATATGCCGGTCCCCATTGTCATCATCAACGGTTTTCCACTGAAGTCGAAGGTCATCGGCTAGTTGCTCAACGAACTTTCGGTCGCGAGCGGGCAGGCTCGATGATAGGTCCAGCGTCGTATCGAGTGAATTTCCAGAGCGGTTCCCGACAAAGGTTTTGACCGTTCGGAATATCTCCTTCTGAGGCGTCGACATCACAATAGGGCCATTCTTCTTTCCCTTTTCCATGACGTCGATTTTGCCCATCTGTTTTCCCTTAAACCAGTTGGCATCCGAATTTGCAGCCTCGAAAAATCGATATTCAACATGCGACAACTCTTCCAGCAAGAGCGCAAGTCGATCAAGGTTAATGGTGCCGCCTTCGTTCATATAACCCTTTGCCTTTGGCAAAACCTCTTTATAAACCTTAAACATCAAAGCCAAGGCGCCCTCGTTGATATGCAAGTTGGGCAAATTAGGCAAGAAATCGTTGCCCACAAAGAACGCCATGAGAATGAAATCGTCAATGACACGTTCCATGTCGAAAGGAAAATCCAAGACTCCGGGCTCCTTAAGCTCTTGAAACTCAAGCGCTAGGTACTCGCGAACAATGCATAGATGCATAAGATAGAAATTTTGGTGCTCCAACTCCTTTGATTTCTTCTGGCTCTGACGGCCAAAGGTAACTTCTTCTCGAAGAAGGCAAAAATGCGGATCATGGCTAAGAAGGCCAAGCATAATCAAGTCTGCATCCAAGCCATATAAACAATGCCGAACATTGGGGTCATAATTCGGCTGCGCCTTGGCTAATCGGATATACTCCATGATCTTATGCTCTCCCTCACCGGGCACCTCATGGCCCGACAATACAATCTCGACTCCCTTCCAGTCAAGGTCTTCAGACACCTTTTTGTTAATAAAGTATTTAAGCTGTTGAGTAAGCTTGGCCATGAAATCCGTTCCTTTTTATAATGTCAGTCTACTGCACATTAATGAACAATATATGTAGTACCTGGCGTGATGCAATTGCTGTCAAAAGGATCTTCCTTGGGCATTTCCATGCCATTCTTGATGGCCTTCTCTTTTGCTACCTCTGCATCCAAAGCAGTCCGAAATCTTCGCGACCGCTGTTGGTTCATCTTTGCACGAGGAGCAACGCCATCAATAGCCATGAAAAACAGTTGCTTAGGTTTGATCTTTCCAAATAGATGTTCGATATAGTTGAAGATGGCGATGAACATCTTGTCCTCGCTCATTCGAAAGGTCGGAGAGTCGGAGTCTTTGTGCGTGCAGTTATGAATGATGCCATTCATGTCGAGCTAGACGGAAGGGTTAGCAATGCCTCTCCAAAACCTTCGCTAGGTGGCCCTTTGATGCGATAGCAGAGCGTTGAACCTACATAGAGGCAGTCGAACTCCGGTATCCGGTTCTCTGCAATAAGCTGCGAGATAGCCGGATACCTTTCGCTCATCCATCTAAAGAATTTGGGAACACCCATCGCGGATCGAAACGCAGGAGAGTAAATTCAGTCTTCAATGACGCGATTAGCTCGACGGCGGGCGAATGAAGCAGGAAGAGATTGCTGTTGATGTTCTCAAACAAAAGGATATCAAAAGGGCGAAGTATAAAATACTGCAAGAAGCGACGAGAACGAACAAAAAATACCGTGTCGACGTCTCTTCGTAATCACCACTCTTATTCACAGCTTCGATTGATTTAAGAGGTTCCCTGACCTCATGCGACGACTCATATGGTAACTGGAATACCAGCAACCGTATTTGTCCAGATTCGGTTAAAGCAGACGGCATACTCCGAGAACAGCACAGGTAGTAAACTATCTAATACGCTAAACCCTTTACACGACTTTCAGAGCAACTTCGCGTCTCCCCAAACTGTCGCCAATTAAGATCTCCAGCACAGGTTCTTACCGCGTCCTTTCTGCAACGACTGAATATCGAGAGCACTTGTCACCATTAATTCAGCCCTCTCCTCAAGCATCGTACCTTGAGGTCTACGAAACATAACCGCTTTTATAATTTAGGCAACCAAACATTGCAAGAGTTACTATCAGGTCTCAACATGGCTGACGACGTTAGCAGTGAGTGATTCCCTTCCTACTTATGATAATACTTGAGCTAACATTGCGCAAGTGACCATGCAAGAAGAACAAGAGGAGGAGAACCTTGAAGAAAAGATTATAAATGAGGGTTGGTTTTAACTCCAACCGTCACTCTATCACAGGAAAATAAGTGTTAACACGATAGGATAGAGTATAAGACTTGGAAGAAGAATGCTCCTTTTCTTTACGATATGATGTTGAGGTACCTCCAATGCTATCGGTTGCATCTCTACCTGACATTTGATGCTAAATTGTGGAAAGTACTGCATTAGAATGGCCTACGCTTACAACTCAGTGGCTGCCCGACGTCCAAGCGTACGTGCCTATAATCCCGATATTTTCTTGACCATCCTACTGAGATCTCCTTAGTGTCCCCGACAAGCCGTACACGGCCCACCGCTTACTTATTGGAACAAACACGTCTGGCGCTGCTCCGAATTACCTTCAAATCGCCCAAGTCCATCTTCCGAATCCAGTAGCTCCCGATGCCGCAGACTATGATGAGGAGCGCGGAGAGATTGGCGGTTACGGTGCTTCCAATAAGAAGCCCGCGGGCGAAGTCAAGTTCACCATTGTCCAGAAGATTGATCACCCAGAGGAAGTAAACAAGGCGAGATATATGCCTCAGAATCCAAACTTGATTGCTACTATGTGTACGGATGGCCGAGTCCTGGTTTGGGACAGAACAAAGCATAGCAGCATCCCCAAGGGAACGGTTGATCCTCAGATGACACTCGAAGGCCACAAGAAGGAGGGTTTTGGTCTCAGCTGGAGCCCACACGAGGATGGACATCTTGCCACTGGATGCGAAGATTCGACTGTCCGACTATGGTAAGGCAATCCATGTTTGTCATGAAGTTTTTGCACAGACTGACCGGACACAGGGATATTACGACTTACTCCAAGACTTCAAAATCGTTGCGTCCGACTCGCACATATACCCATCATGCAGCGACCGTGAATGACGTTCAGCACCATCCGCTGCACTCGGCTCTTATCGGCACAGTCTCGGATGATTTAACGCTCCAAATCGTGGACGTGCGTAACCCTTCAACCACGACATCGGCTACTCAGGGAAGCGGCCATCAAGATGCGATTAATGCTCTGTCCTTCAACCCCGCGTCGGAATATGTGGTGGCAACTGGTTCGGCGGATAAGACGATTGGCATCTGGGATTTGAGAAATCTCAAGTACAAGCTGCACTCTCTTGAAGGACACCAGGATTCTGTGACTTCACTTTCTTGGCATCCATTTGAGGAAGCTGTCCTGGGTAGTTCTAGCTATGATCGGCGGGTCATGTTTTGGGACTTGAGCCGAGTTGGCGAGGAGCAAACGCCCGAGGATGCAGAAGATGGGCCACCAGAGCTGTAAGTTGGACATTCATTAATTCTTCTCCATCTATGGGCGTGATGCTAATGAAGATTTTTTTCAGGCTTTTCATGCATGGCGGTCACACCAATCGGGTATCCGACTTCTCGTGGAATCTGAACGACCCGTGGGTGGTGTGCAGTGCAGCCGAAGATAACCTCATCCAGGTGTGGAAGGTGGCCAATGCCATTGTTGGCAAGGATGTCGAGGACGTGCCGACCGAAGAGTTGGAGCAGTAGATTGTTTCAGGCGTCGAAAGGTTTTGTTCTGGGAAGGCGCAGTTTTCATATGAATGTTTTTTTATCACGTTGTGAATCAGGCTGGTCTTTGGAGCTGTTTCATCAGTCTGGCAGCATTTCGAGCGCAGTATGGACCGTCAGATCTACAAGGAATAGGGGCACGATTGCCAGGCATAATTTAAAAAGTATCTTATTGCAACGGCAAATGGTCTCATTGATGGGAGAGAGATTTCTTCTCTCATGGTCGAACAGATAATACATATGCTTCTCCAATGGGACCTGTTCACTCTTCAAAGCGGACTCAGCGAGCATAAACAATGCACACATCGTCAACAAGGAACCGTCTTTTGGGCCTTGGCAGGTATCACTAAAAATGCCGTCCTAGTGGTGAAACCTGCTCAGTGTCCATATGCATTCTTTACTCGGTCCTGGGCAAAAGTATGCTAGGGCCCCACAAAGATAGTACAACAGTCAATGCCAAATACATAAGGTAATAATATCATGGGCGAGAGAGCACGAGTAGCGAGCGAAGAAAGTTGGGCGATGGCGAAAGAGTATCAGCTGTCCCACTTGGGATTAGCGTCAGAGGAGGGGATACCCCGGAGTCACAATTTTCTCGCTTTTTCTGCCCCGGCGTGTTCGGTGGAAGCTTTTCGGGGGTGCCAGATAAGTTACTGGGGTGCGAGGTGAAAAAAATTGAGAAATTCCCCCCAAGCCAGAAGGCCACTTTTTTTACGTGCACCACAAAACCGACCCGCCGCACCTCCGATTCTGACTCCCCCTCTGGGCCCCTCCAGCTTACGGACCCTTTTCGTTCCTACCATAAACTTAAACAATTATTAGTGATTTTTCCTCTCGGGTCTCTATCTGATACCTCACAAACGGATCATGGCGGAAGAATCTGAATAAACCAGTTCAATTTGTCTGCATCTGTCATCATCTCCAACGCCTATTCAGCCTACCCACTTGCCTCTGTTGTGCTGCTACCAATTTCCCCCCCCCCCACCACCCACCACCAGGACCCTTCGCATCCAATATCTATCAGCTTCAGTGACGATTCATAGACCACATCCGTACCAGCATCAGGAGAAGGCCTTGCCCTCTACATTGAACTCCTTCAACGATGGATTCTCCGCCGCTCCGAGCCAAACCCGCCTCTGCTTTGCCGGCGTATCTTACCAACGGCAATCCCCCCTCCCATGCGTCCCGCGATAAGAAAGAACGAGAGAACTTATATTCCTCTATCAAAGCCTCCAACGAAGGTCGACGTGCAGTTGATCTCGAGAATACCGAAACTCTTCCCTACAGTGGAAACTCATATTACTCCAAAATTGCACAGGAGCAGCGACCAGAGATCACCTCTCACACTAATGGACCGGCTCTGAAGCATCCTCATCCTCGTGCCCATATTGGCCCTTACGAGGCAGCACGGGACCCAAGAGATGAAGCTGTTCCACCTACTCCTCCGGGGACCAGCCGATCTGCAAGTCCATACACTCTGAACCCACCCATTGATTTCGATGGGTTAAGCTGGCCTAGTAAGCTAGAGCAGGACTATCCGATTCCTTAGAGCGGTAATTTTCTAACAGCTTTTCAGGTCTTGGAACTAGGGAACGTCTGGAAGCTACTCCCGAGGAAGCTCAAGCAAGAGTCAAGAAGCTCTCCGGTGCCGTAGCGACCATTCTCGAATGTCTCGGTGAAGATCCGGACCGCGAGGGTCTGGCAGGCACTCCCGAGAGGTATGCCAAGGCGATGCTCTTCTTTACCAAGGGCTACGAAGAAAACCTACGAGATATTGTCAACGGCGCAGTCTTCCACGAAGATCACGACGAATTGGTTATCGTTAAGGACATTGAGATTTTCTCTCTCTGCGAGCACCACCTGGTGCCATTTACCGGCAAGGTATTGTTTTCATTGAGCTCATCTTATACTTTCGAATAATTGCTGATTTTCAAAAGATGCACATTGGATACATTCCCAACCGCCGTGTCATTGGTCTCTCCAAGCTAGCTCGCATCGCTGAGATGTTTTCGCGTCGCCTCCAAGTCCAAGAGCGGCTGACGAAGCAAGTCGCTCTGGCTCTCGCCGAAGTGCTACAACCACTTGGCGTTGCCGTCGTCATGGAATCGACCCACCTTTGCATGGTGATGCGTGGCGTGCAAAAGCCTGGCGCCACTACAACCACAAGCTGCATGCTTGGACGCATGAGGACTACCGCCACGACGAGGGAGGAGTTCCTTAACCTGCTCAACCGAAAGTAACTTCCAGTTTCAACTGCTACTTCCACCCAGAGGACTATATGCACATACTATCTTCGGCTCATCTCATCTCACTTGGCGGTGTTCAGGCGTTTTTCTCGACTCAACTCTCTTCATTCTCACCTCGGCTTCCAATAGCTCTTTTCCTACCACGCCGCAGCCGCGGTCTTCATTTCACCAAAAACCGTCAAATACTGATTTCTTCTCTATGGTTGGCAGATCTTAGATGGGTTTAAGATGTGCCTTTCAACAGGCGACTAGATGTGGGGCTTTCGTTGTTGACTCCCTTACTTTTTGTTTATGTTGTTCATCTGCTTTTGCTATTCCTCCGCTTTGCTCACAAACGCAAGCTTTCTGACATGATCCTGACACACCTTTGTCCATACTGCTTCTCTATCCCATTTCCTTTTTATTTCTTTATTTTTTTTTTTTTATTTTTTTTACTTACATTTGTTTTATATGCTTCCTCTTAGGGCTGACGATACATTCATTCACTCATCTGGATTGAATATGGATGAAAATTAAAATCTCTCTACTTTAACGTGGAAGATTACGGTGATTACGGGAGGGTGGACTCATTCTTATTCTTATTCTTGTTCTTGCATATTTTCCACTCTTCGTAGGCGTTTGTTGCTTGGAGTCTTACGAGTCATTTTCTTTAGCTTCTTCTTCTTCTACTTCTACTTCTTCTTCTTTTCTCCTTCGTTTCTCTTCTGGCCACTCTAGCGGCGCCCGTACCCCTTCTTCAACTCCAAGTCTCTACCTCAGACTACAGACTACAGATACCCCAAGGCTGTGCTCAAAGCTTGGAAGGGTAGAACAAATCATTCATCTCTCTTTTCTGAAGCCGGCGCTTGCCTGCCTGCTTATCTAACATTTATTTATTCATTTTTTTTGTTGAATATTAAGCAAGGCTTATCGCTTATCAAATCAACTTTTTATCTTCTTTCTCTCCCA